TAGCCAAAAAAACTCTTTGGAGACTTTGTATACTATTAAACCCGCAAACACAGTTGACCGCGAAAGTCATGTTCTGAGATTCGTACGATTTCGGAAATATTTTCATAGATTTTTAATCAGAACTTTCAGAATTTTGTATTGAAGTGGCTGTTATAATATTGCTGATGCTTCTTTTATAGTTTTTATATAAAATAATCAATCTTTTCATCAGAACGTGCCTGTATATCTTTCTTTCTTCGCCGTCAAATATGTTAGGAGTCTTTCTTCGGCCATGTCTTCTAAAGCGTCACTTTTTTCGTGGCCATATTTTGAACTCCCGTCTTCACTCATGTCTAGTGACGAATTATTTGAATTATATAGTAATTACGTAATTATGTATATATGTGCGTAAATATGCAAGAATATAAATAAAAAAGTATTACATTTAACATATTTCAAGTAAAGTGATGTGTACTATGCAAACTAAAGCACTTTGCTGAACACTTTCATTAACATTATTGAAAAGTATCGCTTCTAATGTGCAATGTTCTTAATGGCTTTTGCGCTCCTATTTCAATAACCAAACATTGTATACGCATCTTTCGTTTACAAACTTTATAATTATTATATATGTATTTGAATTATAAATGCATTCGTATACAGTATGTAATTTTAGTCAGTGTACAATTATAATTCATGCTGGCGTTTGTATGTACGAGCAGTATACTTAAGTAAGCGCCTCTGCCTGTCGCGCATATGTAGTACTTCTTTCCTCATCCAGTGTGTGTGTTTTACTTGTTGCTGTTAGATGTACACGTATGTACATATGTACATATATGCTTCCTACTGCCAGGCACCAACAGTGTAGTTGTAACTGAAATGACCCATGCGTCGTTGGCGGCCACCTGAGAGAAGTGCAAAAATATGTTAGCATATTTCTTCGAGTAAACATAAGTAGATAAATAACATATTTCTTTAAACATATTAGTGTAGAAAAAGGTAGGCGAAAACTCACTATGACGTACATCGACAAAAATTGTGGAGATAAAAACAAACGTATAGATTACTACGTATATTTGCTATAGTAAGTACTAAAGCGTTTACTTATGATTGTCTGCTTTCGAAGAGCTTCGCTTTGAGTGGCGAACATTTAAAGGGTTCTCAAGATATACACAAAAGTATCACTGACACGCTATAGCGGGGAACTAGCAGACGTTTCCTCTATGCGCTTAAGTAATATTAGGTTTATAGTCATTTATAGTATTTTTATTTAAAATGGAATTTCCTAGCACTCACTCGTGTTTCTTGAGTAAATAGCAAATCTGTATACTTGGTTATGAAACATTAAAAATGATAGTGAAATCTTTCTAATAGTAGCCACTTCCTGTAGAGTCTACAGTGTGGGCAAAGCAGCCCCAAGTGACTTTCGGATGCATAACAAGACAAGCACACTCTACGAAATTTAAAATAGGATACGTGAATGCCGACGATGTACTAGTATATAAAATTAAATTTTAATTTATATATTTTTGCCTTAAAATCAAAAGGCAAGTCCGGTAAGGTGTCGAAATGGTTGCTTCTTTACAAAGTAATTAAAAACTTTTATAAAATATTAAGTCCTAGGGTTATGATTTTTTTTTAATACGGTCTATTAAAGTATGCAGCCATTCCCTTGTAATTATTTTAAAATTCTATTAGATTTTAAAGATCGTAGGAATTATTTTAAAATGCTATTAGGATTTTAGTACAGTGAGTCAAACAAATGTTTACGTGTTTACTTTTTTTTTAGTATTCACAATGTTTTTCAAGTTAAATAATTTTTTGTTATTTTTCTATAACACTATTGTCCAAGCTTTAGCGAAAACCATATAAATCAAAGTTTCAAACGTTATAAAAAATTTAGGAAAATTCAACAAATTTTCATCAAAATTTCGACCTGTATAATCTGATATTTTAAACATTTTCTGGGTATGCAGTTTTATGCCCCTACAATTTTAGTCTAATGAAGTGCAAGTTTAAACCGGCTAAAAAATTCCGTTAATTTTTGAGAATTTTTCTTTTGTGACGGCTTTTGCGGATTTTTTTTTATATGTCAAGTGCAATTAACAAAAACTGGCGTTGATTTTTCAAAATTCTGTTGCGAACTGCCATTTTATTTAATATGAAATTCAAAAAAAAGTTAGTTGAAATTTTGATGAAAAGTTCTTAAATTTTAGGTAAATTTGGTTTTGGCTAAAGTTTGGACAATATTTTTATAGAAAAACAAGTAAAGAAGTCCAAGATCGGGCGAAGCTGAACCTTAAATACCCGGCGCACATATTAAATAAATTTTTCCAACGTTCCGAAAACTACCGTTACTTGTTTTTATAGAAAAATAACAACAAAAAAATGTTACTTGAAAAACATTGCGAATATAAAAAAAATCAACACGTGAACAAACGTTTGAGTCACTGTTTGTACATTTTAAAGCAGCGACCGAAAATAATGATGTTTTCAAAATTTCACTAAAAAAATCATAAGCTTCCAAATATCGTAAGCAAAATTTCGAGCATATATGTATGTACATATACAGTGAGCTTGAACAATATGCATACCCTGACGTTTTGACGATTTTGTTTGTTTATATTTTCCATACCACATACATATTTCTTATTTTTTAATAAAAATATAGCTCTATCGCCAGCAAAAACCAGAAGAATACATTTTTAAAATTTTATGCAGAACTCGGAAAAATGCAATTCGATTTCTCAGAAAAAATTGTTGAGTATGCAGTTCTGTAGCCCTTAAATAAAGTATAATAAAGAGTAAGTTTAAAGTAGCTAACAATTACCGTTGATTTTTGAGAACTATTTTCGCTGAGGGTGTTGCGTTCATGCGTTATATGGAACAAAATGCGCAATACCCTCAACAAAATCTTAAAAATTAATTCAATTCGACTTTTAAGGAAATTCAAAACTTAATGAAAATTTCTTAGTTTTTTTTTTGCATTTTCACCGAGTTCTGTATCAAATTAAAAAACAAACACTTCTGAGGTTCTGTTGTTGAATGAATATATTTTTATAAAAAAAGTCGCATGGAAAAAATTAAGAAACAAAATCGTCCAAACGTCGTGTATGCATATTTTTCACGTTGACTTATGTATGTATATATGTTTATGTTCTGTATGAATATGTTACGATTTAAAAACTTCTCAGCGATATCTATAAAAATTTTAATTTGATTATGACTTTTATTAACTGCACAGAAAATATAATTACATCTTTTGATTAAAAATAAAACTTTATTTTTTGAGTGTGATTTTTTTTGCTCAGAAATAATGATTTTTTAGTGAACTGTTATTTTTTGATATTAATTACTTAATGAGTTTATTTATTTTTTATCAGGAAAAATTATTATTTTTTAAGGTTTTATTTTTTTTTTTATCGAAAATAAAACTAATTGAGAATAATTTTTTCTCTCAGAAATAAAAATTAATTTTTTAGTTTTATGGCAGATCGAAAATCTCAAAACGTCCCACCCTAGCACTCGTCAGCATATGCCCTCAAAGATTACAAGAAATTAATATACATATACATATATATACATATATGAAAAATTTGTGCAAAGCAAAAAAAAAAATATCGTTTAAACCCTTACTATAGAAAGCGGTCTCGCATTTGAAGTTTTTCGATATGCAAAAAAAAAAACTTAAATATAATTGCTGTTTTTTAGAGATAAAAAACCGCTCAAGAAATTAGTTTTATTTTCGATCATGATAAAACATTGCATCATATTTTCGATAAAAATAATTAGCACTCGAAAAAGGGTACGATAAAACTCAAAAATTTATTATAAGTACTTATCGCAAATTTTAAAACCTTAAAATAATGATTAAATATCTTTTTTTATAGAACTAAATAATGATTACGGTTCCTGTTTTATACAAACTTGATTCCTGCAATGCATTAAAATTTGTTAAGTAATAACCCGCATAGTGACAAAAAATAAGCGAAATATGACTAATGCTTTTGAATGTAGGTATACAAAAAGTCAGAAATACAAATAATTTCGAAACAAATTTGACATGATCCTTAGTCATACAACATAATAAAAAAATGACAAATTGTACATAGAACAAAACATCAAAATAAATTATTTACGGAAATCTATAAAACAAAAGGTCATAAATCATTTCTGGAAGTTCTTACCCCATAACAGTTACGTTCTTTATAATAACAATCATAATTCAAACGTTAAAACTAGATTTTTGTTATGATTTTCAGTCTTCGATCGTGAATCACATATGTACATGTATGTACTTTCATATTTTATTTCCTAGATCATAAAAGATTCAAAGAGAAAATGAAACGCATTTACGACCGCAAATTTTTTTTCTAATTATAATGACTAAAAATAATCAATTTAAAATCCAAAATAATTGTGATTTTGATCGAAAAGGAAAAAATTATAAAAACACGGATAAATATTAAAATATAAACCTTCCAAATAAAGATTATCATCACAAAAAAATATACCAAATAACTACTATGTATTTAAATATCTGTTCAGCTTCCTCCAACATACCCATATTGCCATACTATTTTATTCCTAAGCTATAATTAATAGATATGCACAATTAACCGCCCTGTATAAACATTATTTCGTCGTTGTCACGTACTCAATAGAACATAACATTAGCATAGAAAATTGTCATTAATAGAGCGATTAAAGCCGTTTTTGGGGCACACTTTTAGGCGCAGAAGTTAAATCAATTGATATGCCATGATTTTTGCTTTTGGCGTAGGGAAAGGGCGGTAAGTTCCGCATCAATCATAGCTAAGAAACAAAATCGACTGTTGCTTTGCAGTAATGCGTTTACGAACAAAGGTTCGCAACAGCTAAAAGAAATCTTTAAGAATGTCGGAAATGTTTTCCTAATTGTGTAACGATTTCTTTACAAATTTTCAAGAGAAATCGTATAAAGGAGTTTGAATCGAACTCGTAAAGAAATTGCTGTACGATTTCTAAAATACAAATCAGAACTGTTTCTTCATAGCGCAGCATTATTTTAATTACTTAACAGATTTTTAGCCGACTTCACAAAAAGGAGTAGGTTATCAATCGTGAAGAAATTAAGAGTAATCTCAAATTTTTATATGGGAATTAAAGTCGGTTTTGTTTTTTGATTAAAAATTACTTGTTCTTCAAAACCTCGTGTACAATATATTTCATTTTAGAGAATCGCGATATCGCATTTCAGCCTCCGCAAGCTCGCATCATGTCACAGATCTAATGAAGTATCGCTTCTGCATATTTAGGGGTTAATACGACAAAAAAATAAATAAATGTGGCATATTTTGAGGCGCTCTCTTTTGCACAGCGGAACTATAGCACTTTATTTTACTACACTTTGCGAATAGAATGCTAATACTTGAAATTAAGTTTTCTAACTTCTAATCAATGCATGAAACTGTGATTTTTAATTGCTAGTTTTTTGCATATAACTATGATCTATAATAATTATGTATGTCGTTAAAATACAAAAAAAAAAATACATGATTTCCTTCCAAGTATATGGTATTTGTGTACGTACTTTTAACACAATTTTATTCAGTGGGACTTTTCTGGCTCGATTACACGCACGTTTTTTGAATTCACACAGGTGGCGGCGGTGGTGGTGTCGGTTGTATTAGAGTTGGTAGCACATAGTAGTAACAGTAGTGGATCGAGTGAGTAGTATAGCGAATATTTTGGTAGTTGTCGGTTGTGTTGTTGGTTTTATTTTATTTTTGTTTTAACATGATTTACAAACATTCATTCAATAATACAAAAAGAAGTTTTAAGTTTACAATTGTTTGTTTCCTTTTATATTGGCTTTGTTTGGATAGCAGAAACGTAAGTAGTAGTAATATATAATTATGTATAATGTGGAGGTTTTTCTGTTTGTTTATTTGCGCTTGGTTTTGCAAATTTAAGTGAACAACAAATTGGTTGGTTGGTTGTTTGGTGGTTGATTGGTTCACATAATTTATTTACGCTGGTTCAGACGATTTACACGTACTGGAAGTAGAGAGAAACACGTGGAAGAGAGAGAAAAAACAAAAACAAATTGATTAGTCAAACATATACACAAAAACAAAAGGAAAGGTAGCAAATTTTAGTTAAACAACAATGACAAGAAATAGCATTCATTTAAGATATTTTTGTTTTTTTTTTTTTAGTAATAACTCAAAATAAGAAAGGTTTCACATTCAGTATTACATGGCTTGAGTTTGAACCTTTGACAATTGGCCAAGGCTGGTGGGGGGTTACTAAAGGTATTTATTTTCGAAGTAAGCGCATTCATTTAAATTATAAATATAAGGTAAATCAACAAAAGTTGTAAGGACTAACGGCATTTAACATTTTTTATTTGGCTAGAATTTTTAACATTTCGTTGTGCCAGTTTTAGCTAATCGAAAGCTAAAATGCAGAGTTGGGAAGTAGTAGGCAAAGGTGTTAGTAGTAGGGAAAAAGTACTATGTGGTACGAATATTTAAAAATTGTATGTTAAATATTCTCTGATAGATACGCAATGGAGTACTGAAGATTTAAATTTGCTTTTGAACTCAAACTCAATTCATTTTCGTTTGATTAGTGCATTGGAACAAGCTGTTTTTTTAAATCATTTTACTGGTTAGTACACGTTTTAAGAACAACTCACAACAAATTCAATTAATAAATTCAACACCAACAACTCTATATACTAATACGAACTTTTTTGCGCTCAACATCCACGCCGATCGATAGACACAGTGTTTGGTGTACGTACATACATATACATATATACACAGGTATATTGCGAAAGAATTGGCTTTGTTTTACAGCTGTAGCAGCGTTTTAATTCCTTTTAAATTGTTACAAGTATTTTTTATTGCAATTTTATTAAAAGTTTTTTATTTTTTATTTTTTTCCATTTAATTTATAATTTATTTTTGGTTTCATTTTGTTGTGTTTTATGATTGAATATATTATTTTACCGTTATCAGTAAAATTATAAGGATGCTTGTAGGTATTTTAAGTGAAGTATTGTGTTGTTTTTTCCACGGTATTACTGTTTAGGGGGATATACATTTTGTGCTTCGTTTCTGAGTTAAATGTTTCAAGTCTCTTATTCGTTAAGGCTCATCTGTAGTTAGCTTTATTATTTTGTTGGGTAGAGCTATTATTTCACTTAATAATTTAAATCGCAGTTTAATTCCTAGACAAGAAATAAAAATGTTGATACATATTTTAGAATATGTTTAATCTGATCTGAGGGAATTGCATTATTGCCGAGTTACATGTTAGTGTGTAGTAGTGTTGTTTTGCTTGTGTTAAGTACGCATTTTAATGGATATTTGCTTGGTTGCCTGAGAAGAGTACTGTTTTATAGATTTAAGCTGAAATGATAATTTTTAAGCACAGTTTTCTAATCAACGTTAGAAAAGTATCACTAGTGCAAATATATATGAGCCATCTTCGTCAACTAAGGCCACCCCCTCTAAAAAATAAGAAAACAAATGGTTATAGGTTTCAAAATTTAGCAAATTGAAAAGCAGTATGGCGGCAAAGTTTTGAAAAATGATTCGAGTCGCTTGAAATTTGTTACTTGGTAGTTTTTGGGATCGCTGATTACAAATATGACTATCGACTTTTAAAATTGAAAACGGCATATCCAATATGGCAAATTTAAAAAATTAAAAAAAAAAATCCATTTTTGATTTTAAAAATTCATATTCAGACTCAAATTTAGCGACCCCATAAACCCCTGAGTAACAAGATCCAAGGGCGTCAAATAAAGTAATACAAAATTTTCCGTCATATTGCATTTCAAAAAACGACGCTCACAATTTAAAAGTAAAAATTTTTCCTGAATTTTTTTTTACCTAACCAATTTTGCCGAGAGAGTGAATGAATTATCAAAAATATATCCGCCATTCAGAATTTTAAAAATCCCTGAACATATTCCGTAATCAGCTAACCCTAAAATCGCGCAGTAACATATTTCAAGTATCAATCAAATATTTGGTTTAAAAAAACTCCACTCATTACACAGTGCAACAAATTTGAAGAAGTTGGAGGTGATGGGAATCGGACCAACAGCATTTGATTAAGCTGGTCAAATAATGAAAAAATACCAAAGGATTTGAAAATGTTCATTGTACTTGTTTATTTTTGAACCCAAAATTCACGACTTTAAGTAGAAATGGGAACCAACTTTTACTAATGCTTTGGTATTTATTTACTGTGTTATTGAAAAGTAAACATTCTAACCGAATTTTCAGTAATGCAACTGATTTTTCTATGAACAAATGCCTCATATACATACACAAATTTAAATTTGCGAAAATGTACTGTTTGTGATTTCAACATTTTTTTTTTGTTTAAGTACCACGATACGCCTGAAAGCAATTAAATATGTATCTTTATCAAATATGAGAAAAAAGTAGTAGCACTCCTCTGAAGCAAAATTTAGTATGCGCACACAAGTGCTTATAATTTTTTTTCAAGCCTTGGCTTAGATGAGATCCTAATTGCGCTACTTGGATGAAGTTCGAACTTATATGAGCACATGCTTTTAGTAAAAAATTAGATAAAACAAAATTGCAACAAAAAAGAGAGATATGACTTAAGCAGACAATATTTTAGTACATGCACATGAAGTACAAAAACAATGGTAAAAAAATAAATAAGTCATGGCAGTGATTAGCAATATTAAACCTACAAATTGATAAAAAAAAAATACAATGCAATGCCAGTTTAGTGAGTGTTAAAGGACTCTGCACATACACTCGCTGGCGTAACGGGGCTGCAAGCAGGATTTTGAAATTGACAAAATCAAATAGTAACGGCAGTTCAGGTGCAAATGGTATGCATTTTAAAGCATTGGTTTTTCCTTTTACTTTTTTTTTTTGTTGGAAAGAATTTTGTTGTCATTTAATTACTCGCCTATTTACGCATATAGCAGCTATACAAAAATGTTGCTTTAAGCACAATTAGAAATAGTTTTTTTGCAGTTTTTTTGAGATCTAGTTGCTGTTTATAGAATTTGCATTGCACAAAAATTTTGCTTGCTTTAACACTCTACGCTTGCAGTATGTAGATATCAAAAGATGTAATTTTTTTATAGATACCTTGTTTAATTTTATAAATATTTACGCCTAGAAATCATTTAGAATATCCCGAAACTTCCGTGTTTAAATCAGTATCAGTATCTGTTTTTCGTCTTCTTCGTCTTCGGCTCTTTTTTTCTCATATGTCACACGCATTTTAATCGTATGGTGGTGCATGTGAAAATATTAATATATGATTTAACGTAAACCTAAGTTTTTCTCTTGTGTAACATATCATTTTGTATGAATGATTTTCTTCTTTGGTTGGATTTAAGGTTTGTGATAATTAATGATTTTTCGTGTGCGAATAGTATTTGCAGCTATGCACTGTTGCTGTCGAAGCAGTGTTGTTGTTTGATTTTTCAAAATCACATTTTTTCACATTTTTTAACGAAATTATTTTTATTTTCATATATTTTTTACGCCTAAATTATATATCCATATATGTATTATTTTATACTCGCTGCTTGCATTATAAAGTGCTAAGACGTCAAAATCAAGCGTTTTTCTATGTATTTCACGCAGAAGCCAACTCGCTTGCTGCTTTAATATTGCTTACGAAATTTCGACAGCGTTCATTAATGACGTCGAAGCAACTTTTGCTTGCAATTTTCTTCCTTTTTTCTTGGTAGTTTAAGTTGAATTGTCCATGCGGTGTTTTGCCGTATTTTTGTTTTCTATTCTTGTTTATTAAGCATTTGCTTGCAATTGTCGCTTTGTTTATTTGGTGTCTTAACTTACGAGTGCGTTAAATATTTAGTAAATATTTTTTGTTTTTGTTTATTTGGTTTTACTTCATTCATTTTATATATATATATATATATATATATATATATATATATATCGACTTTTTAAGATCATTCTTTATTTTACTGAATTCTTGTTGACTTTCTATGCAGATTATTGAAAAATCTGAACTGCAGACGTAACTCAAGATCTTTTCTTACTGCAAACATAAAAACAAAAAGACAAAAAGACACAAAAGACAAGTAAATGTTAAATAACTGCAAATGAAAAGTAAGGGAATATGTACGAGGGTGCAATTCAAAGGATATTAAATGAAAAAAGATACACTATTATATTTAAGACAAAGTGTTCCAGTAACAAAACTTTGCTTGATTGGTAAAGGGGAATTATGTGGGCCAAAGAGTCTGTTTAAGAATTGTAGAGAGTTGGTGAAGAAAAACGAGAATGAATAAAAACAAACCAGAGACCGAATAGAAGGGGAGATACTCAAGGTGGTATTGACGGGGACATGGAAGGCAAACAACTGAATCAAGAGCAAAGGAACTGAATTTCAATAAAGAGAAAAGGAATTTAGGTACAATACAAGAGGACATAGAACTCGTCCTAAATAATAGACAAAAGAGCAATAAAACAAAGTAGTAAAGTCCATGGAAATACGTCTATGTGATGGATTTAAAAGTGAAAAGATTAACAAAAAAAGGCTGTATTTTGAAAACTGAGAAAATGAATGCATGTACAGTGCCTGTTCCTTGAATTACGAACGAGCAAGACAAATTTATATCCGTACCCGGTTGACCGAGCTATACTTATTAAAGTGTTCCAAGGTTTGGTCATGTGGTCATTTGGATAGATTTAATTTATAAATATGTTTGTATGTAATATCGTTAATGCAATTTATTATTTAGCATTATGATAATATGACATATAAACATGCATGTATATGCACATGAGCCTTTATGTCCACAAAAAATTCATCAATAAGTTAATATTTTTGCCGAATAGCTACATATCTCAGTATAAAGCGATACAAAATGAAAATAAAATACTTTTAAAAATATGCCTCGATAGCTCAGAATTCTGTAAAAAGGATATTTTGGAACTAAATTAAAAAATTTCACATTTTTATTCTAATAAATTAATTAAATATCTTGTTAAAAAATTGGGTGCCACAAATCTGTTTTTTTTTAATAGTTGATAGAGGGGTGGGTTGCGCCAAGCTACTCGGCGGCAATTTTTTTCCGGAGAACAGCTGGATATTCTTTTCTCATGTATCGTGCTGCAACGGTAGTTGGGTGCATATCTCAAAAATTATAAGTACATATTTAAGAAATATGTATGTATTAACTTCTTGTAATTCAAAGGAGAAGTTCTGTACATCTATGAATGTGCCGCTAATTAATGTCACAATTAAAAAAAAAATAAAATTAAAGATAAACAAATTGTGTACTTTGTTTAAACAAATAAGAGCGAACTTTTGCCATGATCTGAGCAGTAGGAAAAATAAATGAGCAATAATGGTGGCCGCTGCGTATATGGTATGATTCTTTTCTATGGGAAATCACATACATTCAATGAGCTGATGATAGCGTAGAACTTTTAAAAAAAGAAAGCTTTTCGATAGAACATTCAGTTTAAGTTTACATTGAATAAGCAAAGCAATGTAAGATTTTATGACCAAATTTTACATATGACGACAGAGCTAAACACAACGAACACAGCAATCTTTTAAAATAAAATATAAAAATCTTAATGGGAAAAGGAGTATCACATCAGATATTAAAAAACTGCTTTAACTTAAACTCAAATAACGGCGTTAGTTTACATTTGAACAGTTTGTAATAAATCACGCAACAGAAATTCCATGTTTGATGAGTTCACTTGGCGTGGATGAGATTTCTTTTCATATACATATATGGATGTTTGTATGATGTAAATATGTACACCAAGTAGAAAGATGCTTAGTGAATTGGGTAGTTGACGTCCTGTGTAGATTGCGTACATTAATAGTGGATATTGTACATATGTATGTATGTTTGTACTATGTGTATGTATATTCTTGATTTGTTTGTCGCCTGTGGTTGGGTTGTGACTTGCATTTAATATTTTCGCTTTGGATTTTATAGCCTTTTTACAAAAGCAACACACACAAACTCACATGAGTGCATTATAACTGTTGGCACTTTGATTGAACGCCGGCGAGGGCGATGGTGATGGCAATTCCGAGCTAGGTGTTACTGCACGACTTCCCGGTACCACCATATTATCCGGATCGATTTCAGGATCAAAGTCATCGCCACCCACCACATTGTCGTCGTCGTCTTCGAGATCGTATTCGATGCGCGGCTGCTGTCCACGTGATAGTGATGAAGATGGCGATGACATTGAAGCTGGCGGCAATGCCATGTTGGCTGGCAGAATTAATTTCGGCAAATTCGGTTTTAATTTTTGGACACGCACAACTGTTGATTGGTTTATGGCGGGTTGTTGGTTGGTGTGTGCAATATACATACATACATATATTAGGCGATGAACGTAACGTTGGTGTACATTTTCGATTTGTTCAATTTACACGTGTATAGATTAACATTTTTTGTTGCAGTTTTCAAGGACGAATTTTTCATACGAATTTTGCGATTTTTTTAATTTTAGAATTTTTAAATAAATAAACAAAAAAAGTATTAATAGGAGTTACTCTATACTAAATCTGTTTATATGTATGTAAATACAACAAAAATGGGAAACGAACCAGGTAAAGAAAAGCAACAAACAGTTAAGAGTGGATTTACATTGGCGGGAATTGACAAATTACACAAAGGAGCATATTTCGAATGAATGAAATGAACTATGAGCAAGGCAATATGACGAATTCAAGCTAAGCTTGCAATCCATGCCTGGATATGATGTGACGCTAAATGAAGTTTGGAAATTGAAATGTAATTGTATGTAGAAGAGCCGGGATTTGATGACACAGTAGTAAATTAGGAATTCTACATAGTGATGTAATCGCATCAATGAAAAGTCCCGATGAGTTATGATGGCTGCATATTAACTTTCTTACTAATTTACCCTTATAAAATTAATGCATTACGTAATCTACATTAAAGCTCTGTTTACAGTTAGGATATTCCCCAAAATTTATTGAAGACCCAGTTAACAACAATTCAGTTACAGTTCACCAAATTGTAAAAATAACGAGAACATCAACACTTTAACAAAGTAATGAATTAACAAAACACGAGACTTCAACAAAACAACTGAACGATCGATGAACAACGCAGTGACGATGACGGTTTTATACAATGTGACACATTTTCGCACGAAACTTCAGAAACGAACTATTTACGTTGGATAATTGGTTAAATGTTATACGCAGTGAGATGCATTTTGGGGAGAGAGAAAGAGAACAGGGTCATCCATATTACCTGATGCCAGAATATTGAACACATTACTACAAGCTGGCATTGTTAATGAGCGGCAAGTTTAACCGAAGGAAGCTTAAAGAACGCTAAATGTGAATTTTAACAAATTTTAATAAAATTTAACATCTTTGGAAAGGGGTATGCAAGCAATTGTTCCATAATATTTTCCTTTAAGAAAAAAAATGTGCATTGATATGATCGAATGCATCATTTATCGGTTGGCTTCTTTAAATTTCCTTCTCTTCGCGCTCGTTTGCATTTTGAATAATATTGAGTGCAGCCACTGCAACGATTGCTGGCGTAGGCAGCCTGGGCATTGCTGCCTCTGGCATTTGTGCTACTAATTCAGCCCCAACATATTTCACATCTAACTTTTCGTTGCCAACATCATGCGAGTCGTTTTCATTTTTCAATGAATTTAAATCATTGAGATTATCTGGGCAATCGTATGCTTTGGCCTTGAAGTCATCTGATTTCTCCATAGGAGCAGCTGCAATGGTAAGAGCTGTCTCGGATAATTGCATTTTTTGCTCAAATTCGGTTGCAAGTGGTTGCGATGTGGTTGTGTTGGCGGCACATGATGACGATGATACGCCAATCGGTGATGTTTGCAAATGAGCGGACAGAACTAACGATGGCGATGATAAAAGTGGCAATGGCGTTGGCGATGATGTGGATAACGGTAAGCGCATGAATTTGCTTTCAGCAGCTGCTGATGATTGCGTTTCAGCTGTGTGTGAAAAATATGAAGAATGGGATGCTTATATCAGATTACTTTTCAGCGACCTAATCAATTGACACTTAGATTGTACATATATAGAGTAATTAAACTTATGCTGACACTTTAACAATGGCAAGTTGAACCTGCAGGGAGTCGAGTGAAACACACTAGAGCCAACGTTGTTTCGAGGAGTTGTAGTATGTGGGCCACTCTTAATAATCACCTAGAGATTGCAAAGGAATAACTAAATTAATACGCTAACTCACTTCTATCGATGTTACGTTGCAAATGTGCGGCGACTCTGTGACGCGCATCATTGAATTCCAAATGCAGACCTAATCTGAGTAACGATGAGTTCTTTTCCACTAATTCGGTTATTTCCATTTCGATCTTATTACCGAGCACTGAGGATCGCTGTTAAAACAAGGAGGTAATTTTAATAAAACATATATATTTATATTATAAATTATAGAGACTCACCTGATTGGATGCCCTGAACTCTTCAATTGTGCGACACTTGAGCAGGGCCTTCACTAAAGTCACAACAACAGGTGGACTAATGAAATTTGTTTCAACATTTAATACTCTCAGGGTTTTGCTTTTCTCAATTGCTTCAGCCAATAGGAGAGCCGTTTTATCGGTTAGACCGACATTTGTTAAGGATAGAACTTCCAAATGTTCATTATCGGGCAGTACTTGGAAAAGTTGTTCGAATTTCTCATCGGAAATGTTCTGTAAATGTGAATATATGTACATGTATCCATATGCAAAATTAGTGCACTCTACATGGTTTGAAATTTCACCCACTCACCTTAATATTATTTAAGTTCAGTTCAATCAATTTTGTATCGTTATCTTTTACACGTTTAATTGATTCCTCGACATCTGTGTTATTTGGTGGGTCCATGGGGAACAATTTTGGTTGAGTTGATTTTGTAATACCGTCCCAACCCATACCAACTGGCTGACCTTTGTTCAACAATGAAGCATGATATTGATCCTGATTCATCATCGAATGGAAACCAAGTATAGCTGCAAGAGAAAAGTAAAATTTGTTGAATGTTAAAAAACAGTACAAAGACAAGTGTTTTTTAAGTTGAGTTGAATAAAAGTTTTTTTTTTTGTAGAATTTTAAAACTTGCGTAATTTTTTTTTTTAACAAGCATATCATTAACTTATTTTTTTCTCAATAATACTTTTACATACCAGCCAAATCGATGATCTCTTCTTGGGTAGCATCGCTCAGCGCATGTTCATATTCATCGCCCAAATCGATAGCGATCTGTTCTTCAGCGGCAATTTCGCTTTCATCCCTTGCCGGTGGCACCCATTTCTTACCACGTACAGTACCCTTAACGTAGGGTTCGAATTCGGGTTCATCTGGTGCTTCTAAGGCTTGTTTGTTAATGTGTTCAATCAACTTCTTACGATTTAATGGGCCGGTGGGGTCTTTGTCGCATTCATAGCTGCATCGTTGATCGGGTGGCAGGAAATTGTCCTAAAGTAAGGGAAAAATAAGATTAGAATTGAACCGAAATCTTCAAAAAAAATGTAAGTCCCTTAAAGTCTAAAGGCCTTCTAAGTGCCGTTATTTTCAAGGTTAAATGTCGCACAGTTCGAACATTTGTGAAAATAAGAAGTAGAGAACATACTGACTTTTTTTTAACTATCAGACTGCTCTGTAACGAACTCCCCTATAACGAATACACCCTTATAAGGAAGTGTCTTTGGAGTTAAGTACTGGGTTTTTTTGTTGGTTTTTTTTTCATAGGTTTGAAGTTTTTATGTAACGAATTCTGTAGAGTATTTCCTTAGGGCACGATTGGTACATTTGAACATTTTTTATATTGGGCTATTGGTACGAAATAAAAAAAAATTTGGACGAAAGTTTTTTGTAGTCACACGATTGGTAAAATACAGCGAACTGCTATTGAAAATAAAGAATAAAGAAAATTATTTGTGCATTCACACAATTGGGATACGATTTGCACCAAATTTTGACCAAATGCCCAATCGTCTGACGACTCTATCCGTCGTTTTAAACATTGTAAAAATGCCTTTGCAATGTATTTTTGTTACAACATTAGAAACTAGGTGTTGTGGAAATTGCAGATAGAGAGTATTGCAGATAGAGAGTATTGAATATAAGCCCTCGATATATATATTTTTGTTTTTCTGGCAAGGGTTTTTTCACTGAACTGCTATTTAAAGCTAATCTCTGGTATCGGACAATCAAATTTTTGACAAATGGTGCTTAACTCATAACTCTAAACACATTGAAATCGACGGAGCAGCAGCAACAGGCGGGCAATTATTTAAATACGTAGTCTTCTGTAGGGGGTTTTCAGAGATCTGATTGTCCGATGGCGATTAAACGGACACAAATTTGTCAGATCTGGCAACGCTATTGGTTTGCAAGAACAACGCTTGCAAATTGTGTAAATTTTTTTCGAAAGTCATGGTTCGATTCTGAATCTACAATGGTGCTTATTTTTGACTAAAAGACATGCTAATAAGAAAAATTGCCGTAACAGAAGTGAAAAGAATTCACGAGGCAACGGTTCATCCACAAAAACTCGCTATTTGGTTGAATAGTTATTTCTTTAAAATTGAGAACAGCAAGAACATTACTGTCAATAGCAAGCGTTTTCATTCGAAAGTTATTTCTCGAAATGATTCGACTCTACACAATTTTCTCTGAGGCCACATGAAGTCATTGGTTTATGCGAACAAACCAGAACTTTTGGACACCTTGGAAGAACAAATTTTGCGAATTATTGTACTATAGGCCAGCAGCTCATCAATTTATTATTTATTTGGTCTCGCTGATTACGAATCTGAAGATTGATTTGAAAAATTCAAAATGACGGATCCAATACGGCAGATGATTTAAAAAAAAAAAGCTATAAAATTTGTATGTGAAGACATTCAACATTACTTTATTTATGAAACTTTCTATGGGAGGGCTTTTAGAGATGCTGATTACAAATCTAAAGTTAGTTTTGGCAAATCTAAAATGGTGGATCCTATATGGCGGACGAATCTGAAAAGGAATCAGAATCTTGAACTTACAGACAAAGAAGAAATATGAAATACTTAAAAAATATACACAAAAAAAAAAGTAAAAATTATTAAAACTAAAGAATCCATAAAACTAAAAATTTTAAAATTTTAAAAAATTTAAGTGATTTTAAAAAAGTAAAAATGGTTTTCTAATATAGCCCTGCAACCACCATGTGGATACTATATTTGACGTAGACTTAATGCAGCCGTTACAGAAAAAATTCGTATTCGTTATAATAATAATAGTTTGGCACTTACACATATGTTAGTGTTTGGCCGAGTTTTTCGTTCGATTTGTGGCGTGCGCCTTGATGTTGCCACACAAAGGGGGGGGACCTACAGTTTTACAGTGAAAATTTTCACATTTACTTTGAAATTTATTTTCGCAATTTGGCAAATTCCAAATTGATTTTAAACTCAAATTTGCTTAGAATTACATGTAAAATCCTCTATGATATACGCGCAGTCAAAAAAAATTGAGCCGCCCTAACGCACATATTTTTTAGTTTTTGGGCGACGGGTAAAAGTGTACGTAATGAGCAATATACATGAATGTCATATCGCGTGGTAACATCGTTTTCAATGTGGGTCTTCACAACTGTCTGGTTAAAAGGTTATCTGGTTTAATTATACATTCACAACAGTAAAATACACTATAGAAAGATAATTTTTAATCACATATCCAAGCAAGTGTGAACACAATGAGGTTGTTCACCCATGCCTGGTTATCAGCTTATGTGGTTATATGTTTTATTCAGTTTACAACAATAAAATACACCTCACAATAATAATTTTTAACAGATAACCTGATAACTAAGTAAGCGTGAACAACCTCATTGTGTTCTAAAGTCTTATAAGTAGATAACAAAATATATTAAACTCTTAATATTTAAAAATTATAATTTTATTTTACATTTTACTTACATCGGGATCAACTTCTTTGGCTAAAATGTTGATTTCTTCTGGTGACAACTGTGCCAGCAGAGCATCAACATCAACCTCATCATATTCGCTCAAGTCCTTGCCATATAATTTTGCAGGTGTAGTAAGAGTGGTAGTCTTTGTTGTAGATGAAGTCTGGAAAGATAAAGATAATGGAAGATTGAAATAAATGATAAATCACTAAAGCAGCTAATAAAAATAGTTATTAAAATACACAATTAAAAATATATATTCCAAAAGCTTTGCAACTTTTCTAAGCGCCAGTGTGGTGGGAGGCTGCGGCGCGCGTCTTTTCACTCTTGGCACTGGGCGTAGTTTTAATTTTTGGAATTCAGGCACTGGTGAAGGTGGGCGTTGCAGCTTTTTTGAAGAATCCATTGGCACTTTGAATGAAATTATTATTGGTAAGTTCACCGCGTGCGCACTATGAGCTAAACTAGCGAACTACTGGACAGGAAATAGGCATTTGGCGCGCTGCACGAATTATTTCGTCTCTGAAACAGCAAATCCCGCGAAAAATATTAAAACACAAAGAAAATTGTAGAATTTCCTAAAAATCAATATTGCATTTCGTAATATACGAGCGCACCGTATAAATTAATCCAATTAACGGCTAAAGAAAACGAAAAAAAATATACAAAAGCAAAAATACAAAAAATGACGTAGACAACAAAACCTTCAGACCTACCATTTGGTTGGCGCAGACAATAATCTTACAAGCGTTCAACTGAAAACTATTGTAAATATTATGAACCTCCGTACGTATGAAGTTCGCGCCTTCGCTTGCCGTCAAAGTTCAAATGCGACTGACTGAAACTACAAATCTACTATAGCAGGTCGGTTGGTTGCGTCTTTGGTTTTTGGACACCAAAGCTCTGCAAGAACACCCTCAAGAAAGCAATACCAGCCTAAGAATGGGAATTGGAATAGGGGACCAGCGCGGCTGTGCGGACGGACTATGTATTGTTTATGCTCCACTGAGATGAAGTAACGACTTCGGCAGCAAAGCTCAGTTTGCAATTAACTTCAGCGTTGTTTCGTGGGATCGACTCAATGTCGTCTGTCTGCCTATCTGTCAGTCACATCGCCAGTTACACATGTGTAAGTTATAGCAGTCAGCGGAAATTAGTGTGCTGTAGTAAGTACTGTGGATCAGCGAGCAGGCAAGCAAGAGTCGTCAAACCACTAGTGCAACAACTTACCTACCAAGCAACAAAAAAGCATGCACACGCTCTCATCGCTGGCGTACTGTGCTGCACCCGAATTGCTAGCTTTTATGGATGACCTAAGATCGCAATAAGCAGCAGTAAAGGTGGTAAGACCCTAAGAGGCAGCAAATGCTTTTAAAGATTTATTATTGTTTTGGTTCATTTTTGTTTTGGACTAAGGTAATGTATGCGAATCGTGTGACGGCTGTTGCACTAAAAGCTAGGGATGAAGGCAAATATGTGCATTCGACTGCATCACCAACAAAAGTTGCGATTTTTCCTCCGGGATTACAACATTTATTATACATAGTTTTTTGACAAACCAGTATAAGCTTACAAAATCTTTTCTTTTCACGTTTTTCGAAGATTGGTTTAAGAATAACTTGAATAAGAAGCCAAAACTATTCCGATTTAGACTTAAATATGAGGTATCAGTGGAAAGGTGTTTTCCCACTCTTTTTATTTCTTTGCAAAAAACTCATTCACGTCTTGACTTTTTTTTCATATATCTACACATCTTAATTCAACTTGTGCTGACATGATGCTTGTTCATCCTACCTTTCTATTTCATACTTTGAATGAGTTTATTTGTAAAAATAAAAAGGGTGACAAAATACCTTTCCCATTTTTTCTCATAAGTCTAAATAGGTAAAGTTTGGGCTGAGTTATTCGAGTTTTTCTTAAACCAATCTTTGAAAAGGTTTAAAAACAGCATCAAAAATCTCATTATTATGATTCCGTAGAACATTTTTTTTTATATTTTTTGCACTTTTTTTAAGCTTAAACTGTTTTTTTCATCTGTGGCAATCTTTTTCAAAACACAATTTCACTCATAAAAAAAAATAATTTTTTTGGTGTTATTTTCAAATCTGTCACGCAAGTTTTAATATTTTTATCAGAAATATTTTGGTGCAAGTCTTAAAATATAATAGGTTTTATAATTCCAATGGAAACACAGTACCGATTTTTTTGTATGGGGAGTGATTCAGTCTAATGTGAATACATACATTAGTAAGACAAGCTACAATTTGGAGACTTTAAGTTTATTGTTATTTTTTTTTCAAGTGATTCAGCTAAATGAAAGTTCAAGCGCCTCATTTGAACTTGCGGCTATCAGTGGGAAGCTTTTTTACTTTATGTTTTATTTTCAAAGAAGGGATAATGTAGTAAAAATCGAGAATATAATATAAAATAAGTCTTTAAATCGAAACGCTATGCATATTTCCGCTTTAGCCAAATATGCATAGCCTGTTAACTACTGCACTTAGTTGACTCGCTACATTTAGCAGTGTTCATGCTTTGCGAGGGTTCTCACTCACTATTAGTCTGGAGTCGCGTAGCGTGACAAAAGCAGTTGAATTGCTAGCTAAATCGTGACGGAGGAGACGCGATCGAATTAGCAATGCAAAGCTGATGAAGGGGCACCCATTGGTGCCGACCAAAACGAGAACTTGGCTGTGAAGATAACTAACACAATATATACAACTACACGCAAGCGCAGAAGTGCTAACGATTTAAAAGGTATACACTGAGATATGAGCCCTTACTTCCGCTGGCATGAACACTTTAAACTCGCCGAGCGTAACGCAATCAAAAGTGATTTTTAATGGTAGTAGGTTTTTGAGGCAAAGCTGGAACTGCTTCACTCAGTTGCGCAGTTTGATTGGCGAACCACAGAAGTTGCGGGGAGGTTACTTCATAATTTATGCCCTACGTGTATTAAGTAGCATGACTATTCTTGTACCACACTTTTTGCTTCTTGCCTATTTTTATTTGGAAAAATTTTTAGTTTTCATTGTATTCATGTAGTTGGTATGTTCTACTATGCCCCACAATAAACAAAAGTGTTACAAGTTTTGAGCATTGGCGAGAACCGGTTCGGGAGAAACACACGAAATACTCGTAATAATAATAATAATAACAATAATAAGTAGTAAACAGTAATCAAAAGCAGTGATTGGACAAGGTACACGCACGAGCACTTGAAACTTGAAAAGCAGCAATGACAGCGACAGCAACCGCGTCTCAGGCGACCAAAACTGGACAAACGAAGTAGAATTAATTGTCTGTTGCGGCCGCAATTGACCCATATTGGATACTTATATTATAGTTATGTCTGTAAGTATTTGCGGAAAATATATAAGTAAATAAACAGTAGTAAAGACATTATCAAAACTAGCTGAAGTACGAGTTCTTGACTTTAAATATTAGGTGAGTATATGTATGTCTGGTCATTGGAGATAGTTTTTAACAATTTACAAGAGGGGAAACCACAAAAGGCAGCTGGGAAATTAGTGTTCGTGAAAAAAAAGATTTGAAGACTTTAGGATGGAAGTCATAAATGTAACACGATATTAAGAAAGTTGAGAGTACACTAATGGAATGGGCCACCATAGAAGAGCTGACGAAGACTCGGCATTACCTAGGATCGATTTCTGTTCCGTGCAACCATCCAAAAACTGGGAGGAAGTGTTTCTCTAACAGCTGTTGCCGATCGGCAGGCAATGCCAAACCTCCAAGCAGACTTCTGCTCTAAAAAAATTGCTCAGAGGCGATCTCTATTGGTCAAAGCGCAGGGAAGCTTCACAAACTGCGACAAAACCTGGATTACCAGAGGTACTGGAATGCAGAAGTCCTGCTAAAATGAGATTAATCCGCAGTCTTTCAAATGCAGGACACTCAAAAAAGATGTGTTATACTGTCTCATTGATTCCCCATTTCCAGCAATTTTCATCTTCGATCAGAGCTAATTTAAGAGCGCGTAAAGCCATAATTCAGTATCCTGTCAGTATCACAACCAGTAGCCAGTTTCCTTCCCTTTAAGAGATAAAATACAATTTGGGAGCTTGCTATATCGAACTCAGCACATATAGCCCTAGACAGATTGCAGTTATATGTTTGGGTCTACAACATCTTTGCCTGCCGGATCGTATACAAGTTTTACTTCCGCTTAATCGCTCGTAGCGGAATCGGCAACTCCTCTATCAGCACAGTTACCTACGAAGCTCCTTCTTAGGTAAGTGTATCGGCCTCCACGTTACCGGCAACACTGTGCCTTCGCGCAGAACAATGCAGCGCCTACAAACTTGACTATCTTCGACCCATTTGTGCAAACAATCACCGAGTCAGCCCTTCTCATGACCTCACACAAGACTTCATCTATAGTGGCTCCGAAATTCGGTCCAAAGTGAAGCCCGGAATAATGTAGTCAGTCTGAGAAGATAGTGTTCGCGCTATACAACTTTGACCGTAGGACCTGCACACAAACAAAATGTAAGTATTTTTTTAAAGAAATCATAATAAACTAATAGGTCTATAGTCTTTTGGGTGCATACAATCTAATCTGCCTGCTTTCGGCAAGAAAACAACCCTTGCCGTCTTTCATCTAATAGCCACATAGTTAAGCCCTATTCAGCCTTCGAATATGATACTCAGCCACCTCCTGCTCTTCTGGCACGCTTTCTGCACCATAGCACCTAGACCCGATGTATTGTAATAAGAAAAAGATTTTACTACCCATGTCAGTTACATACTTGTACATGCCGCATATGACTTTTATTAATGAGAGAAGAGATGTAGTTACCGGTTTTGAACAGAACTGCCGCTTTTTCGGGCTTCGAATCGAACCGGTTTAATTTAAAATACCAAACCCGAACCGAAAATCACTTCAAAAAATGGTTGCGTTCGATTCAAAATGAAAATCCATTTAAGAATTTTGCAAGCTTTGTAATACACAATTTGCCTAAAAATGTAACCGTTATGGTAAAACTACTAAAATTTGTTTGTTTGAAGGCAAGTCCATGAGTTGGCTAATGAAGTTAAGAACCTATCGGAAATCGGGGATTCAGCGTCAAGCCAAAATTCTTAGCTTAAAAAAAGTTTATTGACAAATTTTTAATAATCGCTTTACTGTGTGTTTGAAAACAATTAGATTATCCATGATAAAAACATAGCAAGGTATAACCGTTCTCTCAATTTGTCGGCCATGATTTTTTTTTGAAGTTTG